AAACATAAAAAAGAAAAAGGGGAGAAAAGGACGATAGATGTTTGATAGGAAAGAAGCAGCAACCCACACCAGAGCACCCGTCAACCACCCACCATAAGGTCATAATATGAGCGCGCATCTGGATACAACATCTCCTCATCAGCAAGAAAGACCTAGATACTCGATAACAATTCTCCCCACTCGGGAATCGAACTCGGGTCTGCTGCTTACGACAGCAAACCATCCAGCTACTACACCACAGACGCCGGTAGAGAATATGTGAGTGGTTTTTAAAAAAATTATTTATGTAAGTGCCACTTTTTCAACAGTTCGAATGCCATCAACTAGGTCTACATGAGGATAATTCAGGTTTGTGGCTTGACCGTTAGCAGCAGCAAATTAAGTGACTTGGGCAACGTCGGTGATTTCATCGACAAGATGAGCAGTGCAACGTAAGTGATTTCGTCGACATGAGAACGAGATGCTAGAGCTGTTTGCTGGGCAAAGGCTCGTAAAACATCCCCGGACTGAAACTGGCCCAGCATTTCCGTTGGTATAGATGTTGAGGCCCACCCTTGGTTCAGTACCCAGCAGCGCTTGGTAAGGCGATCGTTTGACGGCGGCATTGGATGAGAGAGAGAGAGACAGACAGACAGACAGACAGACAGACAGACACACAGGCAGGCAGACAGACAGACAGACAGACAGTTAAAAACAATGGCTAAAACTGACCTGGCTTGAAGCTTGTACTGTCGAACTGTTTTTCTGGCTGCACCCAAAGTCGCCTGCAACTGATGTATAATTTCCTGATATTTTGACTTGGGTAATAGGTAATTTCATACTTTTCAAAAAGCCTTCTTGTAAAAGTTTCTTCACAAGAATATTCAGCCATGTTCAAGCTTAACTATAAAGTGAATATCTTATGACAGGTTACAGGTGTGTAACTTTCGCTACTCCTCACTTTCGCTCAACACAGTCAAATCAACAACGCGCTAAAACCATAACTGTGAGAGCGAAGAGCACTGAGTGATAGTCAAACGGTTTGCCCAGTGGTCAAAATAACAACCAGGCAAAGCTAGAAATCTGAGGCTTTTATTTTCAGTCATTCTCCAAGAGTGTCTAACATTTTTAGGCATTCCTGGAAATGCCCGACCAAAGCAGAAATTACTTGGGAATGACTGAATTTTCATGCATTTCCTGAGAATGACTAGTTTCCGGGTTTCACTGTAACATATATATATATATATTTTAGGGTAAATGTTTTACGCGCTCGCAACTGCATAAGGTCATATCAGCGCGTGGGACACACCAAACATT